TGTTGCCATTTGGTACCAAGTATCATTATAGATATATCGTTCCCATTTCGATCTTTTTTTGTAGGAATTACAGATATTTCTTCAGAAACCGTTATAGAATCGCTTCCACTATCTATAGATATAGGAACATTATACGAAGTACCAATAGACCGAGAATCCCCAACTGCACCAGTAAGTTTATGAACGTTTTTCTTATCTATTTTTAATCCTAAATAGTCTGGAATGTTATCAGTAAATAATGAATCATCTGCACCGGTATCTAGAATTGCGTGTGGTATTACCAACTCACCTATTCTACAAGAAATTGTCGCTACATCATTGGGTTCTCTTATATCGAGAAATTTATTTTCAAAGGGATTAGGCCAATTTCGTCTTATTTGTGCTCCTTGATATAGTTTAATGGCGTGATTTAAAGAGCGAACTTTGTCACTTGGAGAGGAATCGGAGATTCGATGCTCCGCATCATCCGGACTCTGTCTATTAATAATCTCAATAAATGACTGGAAGATAATTTGATAATTTTTCGCAATATTCTCCCATACCTTATTTCGCTCTTTAACTGTATACTTTTCGGCATAATAGGAATCAAACTGGTCCTTCATTTTTGTAAACAGATTATTGAGAAATGTACGAGCTTCAATGAGAATGTCCTTGGGAACATGAGGTATTAATTCGGATATCATACATTTAAGAGATTCAAGAAATACTTCCCGTTCCAAAGTATCAATGGACTTCTTTTTCTTGTGTAACCTCTGCCGTACGGCTGTAGAAGACCTCTTCTTTCTCTTCTTCATAGGAATCCGACTTTTTTTTTTACATTAAAGCAATTTTGTGGTTCGCTATCTGTGATGGTTTCCTCATCTTCACTCTCTACGTCATTTTCCTCATCTTCGTCTTCCAATACTACAACAACTTCATCTTCTTGATCATGATTTTCGGCTTCAGGTTGATTACTATAAATATAGTTAACCTTTTTAGCTTTTCGAGGTGGAGGGCAATTATTTTTTCTATGACCGATTTTCCCGCAATTTGAGCACTTGTAAGTAACTTTAGTAGGCTTCTTTGTAGTATAGACTTTTTTATGCGGGCAGGGCTCCCTTCGGGGGGTTGAAGTTCTGGTACGAACTCCGTTAACTTGACCAAACGACTCTCTTCTAATATGATAATTTTCATAGCCTAATCTATTATATAATTCATCTTCAATAAAACTTTCTAAAACATCAGGATCTCGAGAATCATCAGAATATCCTAATCTCATAGCGATGCTTTCTAAATTATCCAGTGCCCTATTTTTGTTTTCCTGGGGTTGGGGTTGATGGTAATATGTAGTTGGAGGAGTTGGGATAGCAATATTTTTCTGCGGTACCGCCGGAGAAAGTGCACTTTGTGCATTAGATGGTTGAATATTACTCCTACTTCCATTTGATTCTAACCAACAATTTCTGAGATTTGTAAAGAAAGCGTCTTTAGTTGCGGGATTTGTCATTCTAACCCTGAGTTCTAAATTTTCTGGTAAATGATTATAAAGTATAGGTAAGCAATCAGCATCGGCAATAGAATGTGTAAATGTACGAATTCTTTGCTTATAACTATCTGGTGTATCAAGTGGAGAAAATTTTTCATTTATAAGCGCTTTCATAGATGCCTGACTAGTTCCTATCATTACTTCGCGATATTTATCCTCTAACCAATCAATAAAAAGCGCTGGTGTATTTACTTGATTACCTGCTCTATTTTGAAATGGATTGGGGGGTATGAATCTTTCAGCTAATCTTGATGATAACATTTGCGTTTTTACGGCATCATTAAATTCTCCAACACCTAATGTATTACCATATTGAAATACCTGCATAACTTTGTTGTAATATTCTTGTGGAGGTTCCTGCCCAATATACATTGGAATTTGCGCCATCAAAGGTGCTAGTGCTGATGTAACATCTTGTATACCGGCCATGTTTTGAGGATGATTATTCTGTAAATTTAAAATTCTCTGATTTAAAAAATTAATTCGATCTTCCAATTCCAAATTAGCATCACGAACTAATTTTGATCTCAATTTCCATTTTGTATATTTAGTGTGCTTAGCTCTCGTCCTATTTTTCCATTTATTGTATTTCCCATATAAATCAGCGGGCGGTTGGGCTTTATTTTTATACTTATTACAAAGAATCTTGAGTGCGAAAATTTCAGATAATAACCGGGCTGTATTTTTTTCATAATAGACTCGCCAGAATGTGTGCATTAATTTTTCGGATTTATGGTTTTTATCCAAATCGTCCAATATATATGCAGTAGCGTTTTGCCAGCTCATAGCATCATCGATAGCGATTCGAGTGTTATCTCTTTCATCGACTAACTCAGCTTGAGATTGATTATAAAGCTGGTTTAATTCGTCTAATGTATATTCGACAAAGTTGCTCAGCGATGAATCGGGATTCCTGCGTATTTTATTTCTAATCAATTGGCTGACGGAACTAAACGTCCTGGGGGTATCATCCATCCTCGGTGATACTGGTATTCTTAGCGGGGTAGGATTAGCCATTTCTATTTGATTAAACGATATTTTTTTGTGGTGTATTAATTCTTTGATTCTTTTCTTTAGCCTTAAAATATCGTCTTCATACCCAGCTATCTGGTTATTTTTAGAATCAATAATGCTTTCGTTTGACTTGATATCCTTAAGCACCGATCTTAATTGTTTACGTAAATCCGATATTTGGATTTTTAATTCATCGATTTCATTCTCTTGATCGGTGATTGTAAGACTCTGGCGAAATAACTCTCCCTCGCATTTTTCTAAATCTCGCATAAGCTTACGAATTTTTC